TTCTTGTATCCTACAGAATTTGCAATAGCAAGCTGATGCTATCGTTTATTTTCATCCAAACACTCCTTTCCAATGCAGACCACTAACTATGGGAACCAAGAAGCAGGACTGCTATTCCTCATTCTCATTTCTTGCACTCTGAATCTGGTTCTCCACGTCTCAGTGCAGCCCCAAGCCCCATGTTCAAAACTGGACAGTATTCCTAGAAAAAGGACCAAATTCCAGATCCTGATTTCAAATGGAAATTAGTTACAACAAACGAAGATACCCAAAAAGATAGCCAAGCTTATAAAAAGAGTAAGGATGTCATTTGTCTTTGGAAAACTAGGTTTAGGTTTTGTGCTGTGTATTACAATTACTGTGGTGCAGACGCATCCAAAAACTACCCGTCCAGTTTCCGTATGCACTATTCTCTGAGCCATGGCTTTGGGAACAGATAGTGCCTGGCATTCACCGCTTTCGGGGGCCGTGAGTGCAGAGGCCCGGCGTGCCTCTACCGACGGGCAAATCCCCATGAGCGCCGGTACAACACCCAAGTCCCCGGGGGCAGCTGAAGCGACTGCCGCCCTCCGCAGTCCGGCGCGGAGCTCCTGAGAGCGTCCCGTCCCTTCCCGTCCCGTCCCTTCCCGTCCCTTCCCGTCCCGTCCCGTCCCTTCCCGTCCCGTCCCTTCCCGTCCCGTCCCGTCCCGTCCCGTCCCGTCCCGTCCCTTCCCTTCCCGTCCCGTCCCTTCCCGTCCCTTCCCTTCCCGTCCCTTCCCTTCCCGTCCCTTCCCTTCCCGTCCCTTCCCTTCCCGTCCCTTCCCTTCCCGTCCCTTCCCTTCCCGTCCCGCTCCCCGGGGCGCCCCTGGAGCAGCCGCCGCAGCCGGGGCTGCCCAGTCGGGGCCTGCGGAGCCCCATCGCTCCCGGGGCCGCCGCGGGGCTGCCCCGCTCTCCCTGCAGCACTCGGCCGAAAAAGCGAACGCGGGCCATGAAGACAACGGCGGCGGCCCGACCCGCTCCCTTTAGCTGCCCTGGGCCGACGAGCAAGACTGAGGCTGCACGGATAATTGCAGGCAGGCCCAGCCGGTGGGACCGGCCCGCGCCGCTCCCGCATCGCCCTCGGCGCGCTCCTGCTCGCTCAGGCAGAGGCTCTTAGGGAACGCAAGGTGTGTTACGTCCTTAATGCGTCCAAGACTGGCCACACGAAAGTGTTCACCGTATGAATGCCACAACGAGAAAAGTCAGATGTTCGATCATGTAGGCAAAAAAAATCTCAGTAATGTTCGATTTTTCAGACTTGTACTTTGCCTGACCATTTCAGTTATATTATTTTGATTGATATTAGTTATTTGGAAAGACAAAACAAAGAGGAATGGATTCTGGCCAGTTTGTATTTAATATTTAATTGATTAAAAATCTCCTCGACTTCAAAGAAGGACTGCCATAAAAGTATGAAGTAGTATGTAGTTCCCTTCAAAGTCTGATAAATGTATCTTTTAATTCCAAAGGTCTGCGTCACTGACACAATGAATATACCTGATCATTTCATAGGCCCTTATATCCTGGCCTTGATCCGAGCTTTGTTCCAAATTGCACAGGACTTAGTATATTTTACCATATTTTCTGTAAGACAAAAATGGAAGGAATAGGAGTACTACTCTGATAAATTACCCATGAGATTAAATAGAAGCAAAAATGTGGTTTGGTCAAACTGAAGGCTTAGGCCTCTGTTTCTCTATCTTACAGCACATTCTGGAAGTGTCAGTATAAACATCCATAAGAGTCCATCTGTACATAAAAGCGTTATCAATACTGGGTTCTTCTGCTCCACATAGGGACAGTTGCGTTCACCACAGGAGAGATCAAGGCCTGAAGTCTAAAGTCCCTTTAGGCAGTCATCTATTTTTCTCTGTCCTAGGCTTCTTAGAAATGTCACAGCCAAAATGATACCATATTTCTCCACTGTTAAAGGCATTATCCTCATTATTTGGGTACCGTCACAGGTCTCTGATTCCCTAAAGTATTTTTATTCACTTGGAAATTTTTCAGGGAAGGACAGGAAGTAATCATTCCAGGCTAAAGGACTGAGCAATTGAAATAGTTTAGATTGTTCTTCTCATGATATTATGAAATTCTTTTCTACACTATTTTGATCCTGCTTTCTAAATCTCTTTTTATAAAGGTTTTCACCTGTGATTTGTTGTCCTTCAGTATCCTTTAGTCTGCTTTTGCCAGTCTCCTGTGGTGTTTGTCAGGCCCTCTAATACCTACATTGAGCCCAGTCAGCTTTTGATTTTCGTAGGGGTGCCAGCTACTGCTGCAGTGCATGAAAGCAGAAGCTTGTACCCTAAGTGCTGTATGGGTTTATTAAATGTTTCTGGAGTGTGAATTTACAGGGAAAAAGAGGAACTCAGTAAGCCAGAAATCCCTCCTTTCCCTGTCTTATGCAGTGCATACACACTTAGGACTCAAGCCTTTTCTGCTGCAATTCTACCTTGACCACTGACATCTCTGATTCACATTAGAAAGCAACAGAAATACCATCATTCTATGAACTGATGGTATGGTAGAAGAATGGAAATTGATCACATCACCAAAATTAGTGTTTTAATTGTAAAGTCTTCCCGAGAGCTTCTAGTTTCTGTGTTTGGATATTCTTTTTAAGCTTTCACTCCAGTTTGCATGTCTCTTGTTTCATTTCTCTTGGCAGAAAGCCAGCTGGAAGAGCATCTCTGCACTGCAGTGAAAAGCTGCAGCTCTGGAAAGCTACCATGTCAAAAACAAATAGCAAGTACTATGACTGAATCACCTGAAAACAGAAGGTACTTTTATCAGCTGGTATGAAAACATCTGAATATTTTTCACCTTCATATATTGATGTCATGTTTTCCCTCCATGATCTACAATTCTACTTTCATGATAGAATTTAATGTGCTCTGGCATTTATTTTCAGGTTTACTGCTTTATTCACATATTGACCTGTTCAGTGCAATCCTCTAAAACTAAATTATTGCTGCTATACAGGTTACAACACACAGAAATTAATTAAACCATTTTGATACACTAATTCTCCCTGTTTACAAGATTTAGTTCATAGAGTTCATAGCCAGTGGTGTCACCATAGTTTAATGTGAGAAAGAGCTATTGCATCATCTCCTAATTTATCTGTAGAGGGCTCGACCACCTTTTGATTTAAGATCTTAATTTGAGAAAACTCCATAAATTAGTAACGCCAGCTGTAGCCTGCAGAGGTAATAATTATGTATTTTTCTCCCTTTCTGTGGTTGGTTTTTTTGTTTTTTTTTTTCCTGACTATCTTTTGTCAGAGTCCTGTGACACTATAGATTCACATAGGCTTGCCAAAATGTCAACTTTCTGAACCTTGTGAGGTTTCAACTGCAGTCTTGGTGGGTACAAAACAATGAGAGAGAACAGGATGCCAAGTTATCTGCCATCAAGTTTCTAAACTACAGCTCACCTGTGGAAATCCTGCACACTGTAGGGGCAGAATTTGACACTGTTTTAGGAAATGCAGCACATTATTGCTGACTTGTGTCATTTTATAATAGCTGGGTTGCTTTTCCACCCAATTGCATCAGCACACAGTGGTCCTTCCTTTTCTGTCAGAAAAGACATGGGTTTTTCTACCTGAAACTACTTTTTGGTGGCTCTCCCTTGTTCAGCCTGTAGAAGTCTCATACTTTGGGGTTGCTCAGCTTTTGCACAAAGAATCATAGGATCACCAAGGCTGGAAGAGACCTTCAAGATCACCCAGTCCAACCATCCATCCAGCACTACCACTGTAACCCCTAAGCCACATCAGACAGAAACAGATCCACACACTTCTTGAACACCACCAGGGGTGGTGACTCCACCACTTCCCTGGGCAACCTGTTCCAGTGCCTGGCAACTCTGACACTAGAAAAGTTAATTTTTCCAATATCTAATTTGGATCTCTTCTGTCTCAGCTTAAGGCCATCTGCATTGAACTGCTTTTGGGCTGCGGCTGGCCAGAACTGTGAGCAACAAGGGCTTGTGCCCAAAGTTAGGGCCTCCCTGGTCACTCCAGACAGTAAGAACTCCTGCATATACCGTGGCCTGCCAGTACAGTCATGGACAGCTCATATCATTTTTGCACTGGCAGCTAGCAAAGCTCAGATTTTTCTTGTAGCTCATGGGTCTGGACCCAGGAAATCCCATGACTTACCTCGGGAGATCACTACACGTGCTTTTAAATGAACAGAAGGAAGTACCACCAGGAAGGGACCTGCTCACTGCCAAGCAACGGAGGAGAGATAAAGAAGGCGAATGACAATACCAAACCTTGGAGTCTAGAACCGCGGTCTTCTATGGCTTTGTTGTGGGTATTGCAACAACTCAACACCAAGCATTTAGAAATCTCCGCGGATTTCTCTATTTAAGTAACTAAATTCTAAACTAAACTATAAACCAACACCCCTTTGTCCCTGAATTGTTTTTTCAAAGGTCTGAGCCTCGCTCGCGGTTTTGAGCATCCAAGCTGGTCGCTGTACCGCTCTGCCCATCTTAACGGAAAGAACGAAGACCCCGCGCCCTAGCACCGGCGGGAGCTCACCGGCAGCCGCCTTGCCGGCACAGCCTGCCTCGGGCGGGCAGCCCGGCTGCGGCAGGTCCGGATCGAGACAGCGGCCGGTCCGGATCGA